GACAGGACAGAGACCCCAAAGGCACAGCCCAGGGACCACACCCCACCTGCCTACAGTTATCACCCACTTAATCCATATCAGTGAATTAATCCACTATTAGGTTAAGACTCTCAAAACTCAATCATTTCACCTCTGAACATTCTTGTATTGTCTCACATGAGTCTTCTGGGGACACCTCCTATCTAAATACACTCTACTAAAAATATCTAAAAAGAACAGATCAAAAAAATAAAAAGTCCTGGAGAAATGATATTTATAAATAAACTGGGAAAAGAATAGGCCTGTGAACTTGATGAAAGTTATTTAACTTTCCTTCCTTTATTTTAGAAAAGAAACCCAAGACCTTCTTTTAAAACAGAAACAAGACAGGATTGATGGGATTGCTGCATGTGTGCCATACTGACAGTCAGGGTGTAGGGGAGGATTAATTAATTGTCTTAAACAAGCAAACAGAGCTCTCACAATCACAGTCAGAATGATGGCCTATAAGGACTACCCCGGAGACTCTGTTTCTTACAACTGGAGATAGAATTGAGCACCGTGAGCAGCACACAACTAGCGGCAGTGTTCCACGCACCAGGGACAACATACAGTGGATTTTAGGAAAAGGAACTTGGTTCACAAGAAGCCCATGAATGAAGGAACCTGAGAAGAAGTGTGATAAAGACGTGATGCACGGTGGACGAAATATGGAGAAGTGTTTACGAGTGTAGAGAAATGGCAGTCCATATGAAAACCCAGCCCAAGATGTAAAGGCTATTTTATTAAGAGGACACAGAAAAGACAAGGAAACTTTCAAAGAATTCCCACTCTGCACAGCAATCAGCCTGGGCAGTCCAAGTGCAGCTGAGAGAGCATGTATCCCCACAGGGGACGGCGGGGGAGTAGAGATGGCATCAGGGCCATGAGGAGCACTGACTGAAGAATAATCATAACCAGAGACAGAGTTCTCTGTGCCAGAGGAGAGCTGTAAGAACAGAATAAGACAAAACTAGAATGAGCTGTGAAATTGGGTATATCTGGTGAATGGATGCGTTTTCATAGAAGATGGGTGGATGGATACATAGATGGAAGGATGGATGGATTGATAGATAAATGGATTGATGGAAAGAAAGATGGCTGGCTGGCTGGCTGGATGGTTGGTTGGAAGGATAGATGGACTGACAGGTAAATGGATTGATGGATGGATGGATGATTGGTTGGTTGGTTGCAAGGATAGATGGACTGACAGGTAAATGAATTGATGGAAAGATGGATGGATTGATAGATAAATGGATTAATGGAAAGATGGATGGATTGATAGATAAATGGATTAATGGAAAGATGGATGGATGGATGGATGGATGGATGGATGGATGGTTGGTTGCAAGGATGGGTGGACTGACGGGTAAATGGATTGGTGGATGGATGAATGGATGGTTGGTTGAAAGGATGGATGGATTGATAGATTGATGGAAAGATGGATGGATGGATGGATGGTTGTTGGAAGGATGGATGGACTGACAGGTAAATGGATTGGTGGATGGATGAATGGTTGGTTGGAAGGATGGATGGATTTATAGATAAATGGATTAATGGAAAGATGGATGGATGAATGAATGGATGAATGGAAGGATAGATGGACTGATGGGTACATGGATTGATGGATGGATGGATAGTTGGAAGGATGGATGGATGAATGAATGGAAGGATGCATAGATAAAGCTAAGTAGCAAGAGGTAGATAAAAGACAGATCACAGATGACAGGTAGATAGGTAGGTAGATATACATGCTTCCACACCTGTATGCATATGAATTTCCTAGTTGTATTCACTGAGATAGCCTAGTAGCAGCAACACACCACTAACATGGTTATTTGTCTACTAAATTGGGTTTATAGATACCATAAATATAAATACCATTTCCACTAGACAGAACCAACACCCCTTGGAGAAGGGGATGACTTCAAGGCTGAGGCAGAGAAAGAACAAGATGAGCCTGAGATATCTTGTTGCTGAAAGTGAGAAAGGGCTCAAAGTACCATGTGAACTGTCAACAAGAGTCAGCTAAACAGGTTCCCGATGAGCACACTCAGGACAATGTGAACGTCAATATAAGTGGGGATAGATTATAAGAGGCTATACCCAGTGGAAACCAGGAGGCCACGTAACTAAACACCTTGGGATAGGAATAATTTTGAGAGCTTGATGAGGAGAAAATCTGAAAATCTCTCTCCACAAGATATTTACTAACTACAAAGGAAAGAAGCATGGCAGGCATCACTAGGCGTGGGTAATCCTCTGCCAAAGATATTTAGCCTGAATCGAATCCTGAGAAAACATCAGAAACACTCAAACTGGGGGAAACACTATAAAATCACCGTGATGGTTTAAAGAGTGCCCCTCTGCCCCAACTGGACGTCTCAGAATGGGGTGTTATTTGGAAACAGGCAGATTGGAATGAGTTAAGGATCTCAAGAGGAGATCAGTCTAGATTTAGGGTCAGTCCCATATGGAATGACTGGTGTCCTTCTAAGAACAAGACAGGACATTTATTTATCTATAAATCTAGAAATATACACAGGAAAGATGATCTTGTGAAAACAGACAGACGGGCTGGATGGATGTACTTCAAAGCCATCCGGTTCTCAGTACTTGATATGGCGGCCCCAAGAGATGAACACAAGACCAGGTTTTTAATCTCCAAACTTCCTGGTGCCATGAAGACCATAAGGGTGACATCATGGTCCAGGCTGAAGACACAAGAGACACATGTCATACCGACCAGCACACTTTTGTGACAAAAGTCACAATCGGGACAGGCGGCCGAACTTGAATGAGGTTTGAGCTGAGACAAATTCGAGCGCAGAGCTGACCAGTTACGTGGTCAGTTCATCCCAAGAAAACTGTCAGTCTGCAAATCATGATCACCGTTGGAACGACTCTCCGCGTTTCCTGAACTATAGGACTTGCGTCTCCTCCTACCTCGAGTTATGCAGATAATTACTTCCACTTTTAGGATGGTTTTGCTATCATCTAGATAGAGCTTAAGCAAGAAAATCCTCAACGCAGTGAACTTCTGGTAATGACTGGTTCCCCGGCCGTAAAGAGTGACGGAGTCCGAAGAACTCTGTAGGATCAGTACTTATAAGTATAAAGAGGGAGTTTTTCTATCATGGCATTCATTTTTTTTAATCATTACGATAAAGAAAGAAGCAGGGTAAATGGAATCTATGTGTTCATTGCTGCGAGCTGCGAGTTTCTTTGCAAGATTCCTGGGACCTTGCATGGCTGATCTGACCTTGGCACCTGATCTTGGGCAACCAGAACGGGCAGACTCCTTGCTTTCTTTGTGTAGTGCACTGCTTGCTCCTCAAGAGCATCCTTGAACTTCATTTTCTCTCGCTGTCAATGGAAGCGCTGGGTTCCCATAGTTACGAAGACCGTGACTGGAAAGCAGAAAAGGAAGACGAGTTGGATTTTAAATGACGGGTCCACAGACATTAGGGAATTGCCTCTGTAGACTCCCCAAGCAGTCTGCCCCAGTAATTACCCTGCAAACATGTCAGTATCTGGGTCACAAAATCTCTTCCGAGTTTGTATCCATGGGTTCAAGCACGCTGCAAAATTTTGACCCCAATGGTGGGGCTGATCCTATGTGGAATTCCGTTATCTAGACACCCGGGGACACACTCCAGAGATTGACAGCGCACGCTCTGTGGCTGGCCTCCCTGAGGACTTGGTACGCCTCCTCTGAGGGACGCCTGGGGGGTACAGATCTTGCTGTATGTTGCACGGGAAAGTCGCTGCACATTTATATGTCTATATCTCACAATTTTTTTTTTAAGGAAAGGATCATCCACCCACATGGTCAAGGATATATGTAGTGGGTTACAATGCATTCTTCAAAAAAAAAATCCAAGAGAGCAAGTCATTTTTCTTCAAGAAAGAAAGAAGTTATGGCTGGATGCGGTGGTGCACACCTGTCATCCCAGCGGCTCGGGAGGCTGAGGCAGGAGGGTGGAGAGTTCCAAGCCAGCCTCCGCCAAAGGGAGGCCCTCAGCAACTCAGGGAGACCCTGTCTCTAAATAAAAGGCAAAAATAGGGCTGGGGAGGGGGCTCAGCAGTTGAGTGCCCCTGAGTTCAATCCCTGGTATCCCCGCACACACCAAAAGTAGTTATGGAAAGAGCATACAAATAGAATACTTGCAAAAGGAGAGAGAGTAAGGTGCAAGATCTTAGGCAAAGCTGGAAATCTAGCTAGTAAATAAACTGGCACAAACGTGAGCTGATAATCCAGTCTTCCTGTCACTTAATAAAGCCACATATGGAGATTCAACCACGTTTGCTCACATAGATGAAATACACACCCCAAGGACCATCATTACTGTAGACGGGGTCTCTGCACAACTCCTAAGAAAAGAGGCCGTAATTGGTGTCTGTGTGTAAAAAATTGTGTATTGGGGGCTTTTGAGAACCATAAAACTGATTTAAAGAATGGTTTCATGGGGGTGAAAAGACGAATGCAGGACAATTAAATCCACGCCATTAAATTGGTCTGTTTCTAAGTGCCTCTTGGTAATGAAGAGTTCATGCTTGGCGAAACCCCATCAAAACAGACTGAAGACGGTGTCAGCGAATCAGCCCTCGGTGATTGGATGCCGCTTCACAAAGTGGGACGCGGCATCCGCACAGTGTGATTTACAAACGGGGCTCTGCATGGTTACTCTGGATTTTAATTCTTGCTCGTCGACTTGGGTTTACTTGGCTCTTGGTGTTGTGCAGCATTTTGTCTATTTAAGTTCCTCCCAGCTCTGAAAGCATGCAGCCTATGTCTCAGATTCCTCTTCCCCCCCGCTGCCCTGTGGCCTGATGCAGGAGGAGATGCAAAAACCATTCCTCATCCCCTGATGCTGCCAACTCTGATCAAATGCCCTCTTCCCTGCACCAAGCACTGATTCAAGTATTAAAGATAGATCCATTGCAATGGGCCATAATTAAATTGACAGAGTCCTGGCAGAATTTTTTTGTTTTTTTTTTTAAACAAGGGTTTAATGAGAAGGCGCCCTCCAAAAGGATCTGCAACTTGCTGTGCCTTCTAAGCTTTCCGGCGTTTTATTCAAACCAGTCTTCTTTGTGCAGGAACTGCACGGTGTCATCAAATCCACGCCGATACAGGGATTCCATTTTCCTTCTGCTTGGAGGGAAGAGGGCCCGGTTGAGCCTCATGAGGTTGGGCAGGGACAACTAGGAGGCAAAGACACAAGTTCAGGCTGCAGGACATACGTTTAACAGCCTTCACCCCCGAGACGCCGGGAGCAACCCCCAGATATGACAACCCCAAACATCTCCACGGCGTGCCAGGCCTGTCCTGGATAATATGCCATCGCCCCAGGTCCAGATACATGAGATTAAGGGAATAGATATCTTTATGCCAGTATCTGTCCAACATTCGCCAATATTTCAGTTCTTCTATCTTTCTAAATAAATAAATGACCCAGTCGAAAACTGCACTGATGGCCTACCAAGTTTATGGGTGTGGGAAAGAGCCGAAGACAGAGAAAAAGCTATGCAAAATGTCAGTTAATTAAGCCGGGCACGGTGGCTCACGCCTGTAATTTCAGCAGCTTGGGAGGCTGAGGCAGGAGGATGGCGAGTTCAAAGCCAGCCTCAGCCAAAGCGAGGCCCTAAGCAGCTCAGGGAGACCCTGTCTCTGAATAAAATACAAAATAGGGCTGGGGACGGGGCTCAGTGGGCGAGTGCCTCTGAGTTCAATCCCTAGTTCACCTGCCACAAAAAAGTCAGTTAACCAGCAGCAGACAGACTGCGTCCTGACAGCCCCAGGCCCCCAGGTCTCTTGGCCTGATGGAGAATTGCAAGGCCCGGCTGCAGGCTGCATTCATTCTGCGGGGATTTCCAGTGGACTAGGGCACTTTAAATGTCACTGAAGGTAATTACTCACCATTATGTCCTGGTTGGTGACCTTGATGTACACACTGAGCTGCCCTTTGTCTTGGGGGGAGATGTCCAGCCGTCCACAGAAAGGGGAGATGGTCACTGTGCGGCCTGCGGGCAGGACGGGGAGACTGTTGGTGAGGCCTCCGTCCACCCACTTCTGTGGAAAGGAAGGTGCACGTACGTCAGTGCCCGTGGGCGGCCCGATTCCCGCGCAGAGAGGAGCGGGGCCTTCTCCACAGTGGCCGGCCTCCCTGGTCCTAAGATGCACGCTTTGGGTGTCCTTGTAAATCAGAATGTCTGGGTGCTCACCCACCTGTGCGTCTGTTTTGGGAGCAAAAGAAATCTTTGTACGCGTGTTACTGACTGAGCTGTGGAGAAGTCTGGACGGAATCAGAAAACCTCACCCACCCGGGGTGGGCGGGGGGGGGGGACCTCGGAGGGCTCAAGGTGAGCGTGTCCTTGGTCCCTGCCTCTAGGAAACGTGCTCTGGTGGAAACACACACGCTGCAGCCCGTCTGTTCCAAGGCCAAGGATAAAAGAGATGGAATACGTGCCATTTCTGTCATCTACGGACTGCCCTGTCTCTTTTATTCCTCCTGACTTGTTTTGACTTATCAGTCTGCTGAGGAGACGGTTGGCATTTCTATTAGTTACGAAGGCCTTGGCCAGATCCCGACTCCTCCAAAGGGAATGAAAGTCAACTAAAAAATAAGCGATTTGAGTAAAATGAAACTGACCCAGAATGATGTGCATGTTGTCATAATGCACAAGATTATATAATTACTTCATATATATATATATATATATGGCTATGAATATCTGTACACCTGAAAGTAGCTGTATTGCTCTCTATATATGCATAAACACGATTGCAGCGTCTGTATGTGTTTTAAAGATAGCAGGTTACATAAGTGAAACCTACAAAAGGGAGGTTTGTAAAACCAAAGGCCCCCCAATATGTGATTGCATCCCCGAGCTTGCTCCCCCCGCCTTGATTTACGTATGAATACCTAAGAGAAAGGAAAAACAGGGCGCCTTGCAAAAGGATCTCCCTTGACGTTCTCAACAGAGCCCGTCACCCATGGGGTAAAAACCTGGAGAGGTTTCATCAGGGAAAATTAAAGATGTGTCAGACAATTCAAGAGCGAGCTCGTCTGACTTGTTCACCGTAATGAAAAGGGGGGTCAATCTGGCTCATTAAGTTGAAAAGTGTTGCAATTTACTACGGGGTTAATGACTGCTGTTTCAGGGAATCGAAAATCCTTTTTCCAAATTCTGTTGCCTCTTGTTAGCTTGTTCTGATTGGATAAATGACTAGGAAACACAGAGTCATCAGATGGCTTCATGCCTCCATCGGCAACGATTTCTGCGCCTCTGTCCGCTCCGAGGCTGCCATCCCACCGGCTCGGGGGCTCTGTGGGCCACATGCCTCACTCCCGAGTTAAGCCCTCCCGAGATCGTGGGCTCAGAACACGCACACCTCCGTTCAGCCGTGCGGATTCGACCCATAACTCCGAAAAGTGCCACCGGAGCAACAAAAATAAGTCCCCAACCTCCCAATTAAAAGTGCAAGAATTTTTCCACGCCGTGCTCTCCAGGGAGGTGGAAATCTTGCCCTTAGTGTTTCCGTTCAGGAATTCTCTGGCTGTTGGCCCCGTATTCCTGCATGCCATTCCACATTCTTGCCCTGAGGTGGCATTTGACATGCCAGTAGCTTCTGCTCTGAGCATCTGTGGTTCTAGAATCGTCCTTAAGAAAAATAAATGCTCTGGTATGAGATAAGTGTATTTATGTGCATTAGTCTCTGTTTTCTATTCTGCACCAATGGTCTGCGGGTCTGTCTGGGCGCCAATACCATGCTGTTTTTGTTACTATAGCTCTGCCGTATAATTTAAGGTCAGGTATTGGGATGCCTCCTGCATCGCTTTTCTGGCTGAGGAGTAGTTTGACTCGTATTCTTCCAAATGAATTTCATGACTGCCTTTTCTACTTCTATGAAGAATGCCATTGGAACTTTAGTGGGAATTGCACGGAATCTGTACAGCGCTTTTGGTAGCAGAGCCATTTTGACAGTGCTGATTCTGCCTCTCCAAGAACACGGGAGGTCTTCCCGCCTTTAAGGTCTTTGATTTCTTTCTTTCCTGTTGTGCAGTTTACATTGTACAGGTCTGTCACCTCTTTTGTCAGACTGACTCCCAAACATTGTATTTTCTTTGAGGGTGGGGCTGCAAATTGGTGCAACCCCTCTGGAAAGCAGGATGGAGATTCCTCAGAAAACTGGGAATGGAACCACTACTTGACCCAGCTGCCCGACTCCTCAGCATATACCCAAAGGTCTTAAAATCGGCACACTACAGGGACGCAGCCACATCAATGTTTATAGCAGCTCAATTCACAATAGCTGACCAAGCTAGGTGCTCTTCAACAGATGGATGGATAAAGAAAATGTGGTACACATAACAATGGAATATTACTCAGCCATGAAGAAGAATGAAATGATGGCATTTGCTGGGAAATGGATGGAACTGGAGAATATCAAGCTAAGGGAAATAAGCCAATCCCAAAAAACCAAAGGCTGAGAGTGTTCTCTCTGATGTGCAGATGCTAACTCACAATAAGGGGCAGGGAAGGAAAGAATAGAAGTCACTGGATTAGACAAAGGGGAATGAAGGGAAGGAGGGGAATGGGAATAGGAAAGACAGTAGAATGAATTGGATATAAGTTTCCTACGTTCATACATGAATACAGTGTAACTCCACATCACGTACAACCACAGGAATGGGATCTACTTAGGATAAGTTATATTCCATGTATATATGGTATGTCAAACTACATTCTACTGTCATGTATAACTAAAAAGAACAAATTTAAAAGGTTACAATGTTAATAAAGCTCATTGCTGGACCTAGGCTGCTGCCCCTCATTACCACTGCTCACCCACTACCGCCTTCCAGTCTCTGACCACATTCCAAGCATGCGCCACGTTAGCGTGAATTGCCTGGGTTCACAGTGATGTAGCTTTCGTGGGGGATAGGTTCCAAGACCCCCAGTGGATACCTAAAGCTGCAGATGGGAGCAAACTCCGTAAACATTATGTTTTCCTCTATGCCCCACATCTCTACTGTGTATCCGATCCCCTCATTTTACAAGAGGAAAGTGCATCTGGGGGAATTACTTGTTCTAGGTTGTGGCCTGGTAAGTTACGGCCCACCATTTCCTTCTTTAAATAAAGTTTTATTGGCACACATCCACGTCCTTTGGTTTACAGATGGCCCATGGTAGTATTCCCACTATGACAACACAGTTGGGCAGGTGTGTGGACAGAGATTATGTATGCCCATGGTCAGATATTTACCCTGATACTCTACAGAAAAATTGCAGGAAGAAATAGCTACTGCCGTGGAGCTTACATGCAAAGAGGCTTGGAGACAGAGAGAGAAACCATGAGCCCCAGTAAACTTCTCCTCCTTTGAGTTGCTTTTGCGAGGTATTTTGGTCACAGCGATGAAACGGTAACTAAAACACAGAAAGGGGATCCATAAACAGACCTATCTCCTAGGACACAGAGGAGAGTCTCCCGTACGGAGTGAAGAAAAACGGGAACAGAGAAGAGGTAGGTAAGATTTTGGAGTCAAAGGGACACAAGTTAAAATGATATTTTTAAAAAGGGGCCAGGGAAACTCTTGTACTAACTTCTATTGGACGCTGCTGACTTTCAGAATTTCTGAAAGTTGTTTAGAAATGGTGACTCCAAAAAATCGAGTTCGTTTAGCAGTTGGCAAGGTACAGTCATTAATAATAAATATTCCCTGGAAGACAAACATGCTGTTCCAAAAATTAAACAGACCGTGCAAAAAAAAAAAAAAAAAAAAAGGGTAAAACATCATGGAAAAATGAGAGTTTTCATTTTAGAGTAACTGTACGTTGACGCTGAGGTTTCCATCCAGCCAAATCCGGCCGGGGCCGTTCGCTGAGATAATGACTGAATCATGCTTTTGTGGGAAATGCCTAAGTCAGGAAGAAACGGGAGCCCAGGACTGTGGTAATGATTTTATATAAATGCACAGTAAGTGAGTATTTCACAATTCTCTTTCCCATAGGGGTCAATAATGAAAGGATCACTGATCCATAATGCAAAGGCTCAGGGGAGAGACCTGCAATTGACAAGTTAAAATTAAAATAAATAAAATAAAATTAAAATAAAAAAATAAAATTAAATTAAAAAATATTACTTGAATCCTAACTCAGACCAAAGGAAAAAAAAAAAACCCATCTGCACCGGGCCCTTGTGGACAGGATCGTGATTCTGACAGTTAGCCATTTGCCGATGCTAATGCTCTCTCTTGGAGAATATCAGTTAGCAATTCCTTCTGAGGATCGTCCTCTTGTCCCAAATGGATGGCACGCATCTGTGATAACCTGGCTTACGAGTGGGATCGCTCCGGGGGCTTCCTGCATCTAACCCCTGCTTGCACCCCAGCCTCCCGCCTCAGGAAAGGCCCCCTGAGCCAGCAGACAAACCAAAGCCCGGCTGCAGGAACACACTGCCATCTAGGAAGAAAGACGCATTTTCAGCGTGGCTGACATTTTTGTGCAGTTTGGGTCGTATAAAGAGCTTACACCCACAGCCAAACGCGTCTCTGACGCAAAGTTCACGATCCCCTCGAGATGGGGAGGAAAGAGGGCAGAATCTGACTCGGGGAGGAGAGACCCAACGGACGGGGGAGACCATCAGGCTTAGAGCAGGTCAGCCGCCAGCCAGGAGGACGCCTGTCCACTGACATTTCCTAGCATGAATGACACGAGGCCCCTGTCAATCATTTTGCGCCTGGGGGTCCTTGCTGCGGGCCCCACCGAGCAGCAAAGGGAAACCAGATGCTTAGCGGAGACATAGGGCTCCTGTCCAAAGTGTTCAGTGACCTCCTGCAAGACTTCATCAGGAACCTCCGATCCCACCGGCCCAAGCCAGCGGGTGAAGGAGGGAGAGAAATGAAATGAGGAGTAGCTTCTGTGAGAAGCCCTAAAGAAGCAGGCAGAGCAGAGACGCCAACATGAAAGATCATTCTGGGGACATTTCCCCCTTCTAGCTTAGTGACTTGGGTAGATGAAGACCTCTATGTCTCCCTTTCTTGTAGCAGATACGACTGGATACTGGTACATGCAAAGACAACAGCAGATAACGAGAATACAGAGGACTGGTCAAACAGCTCCCCTACTACCCTCCCCCCCCAAAAAAGAAAAAAGATTCAGGAGCCCAGCTCCCTAGTTGACATCTCCAGGGTGTGATCTTTGACCTCATGCTTCATAATGAATGCTGATGCTGCAGTCATCACATCTAAGTTCCAGGAAACAGGAAAGGAAGACGAGAAGAACGGAAAATGTACCATCTCCCTTCCCACGTGCCTCACAGTAATTCGGCTGGCATCTCGTTGGCCTGTACACAACCTTCCTTGCTGTAAGTCCAACGGTATTTCAGTTTACATCTTCTTGGCCAACAACTAAATGCGTACACATACTCACCTGCAGGGGAAACTCAGAAAACTAACCTTTGAGCTACACGGCAATCAATCCAGATAAAATGAGATTCTATTACTAAGGAAGTGAGAGGGTCCTCACCACAGGTTCAACAGGTGGGCTCACTCAGCCTTGGACTGTCAGTCTGCAAATTGTGAGCTTAAAACCGTTTTTGTTTATAAACCAGGAACCTTAGGTATTTTGTTATAGCAACACGGAATGAACCGACACACCTCTTTTGATGTCAATGCAGAATCTCATGAAATGCCTTAGGATTTTTCTTAACCATAGTTCCCATTTTTGTAATGAGTAGAGTATATTATAAAGGGTACTTTCAAGTAAAAGCTATTTTAGATTTCAGATCGTTATAAAACCAATGTTCACAGTACAAAGCTGATTTTTGATAGCAACTTTAAGCCTATTCAAAATGTAATGTAGAAATAAATGCCAACTTCATTTCGAGAGGGAAAATAATACTTTAACTACGCATTCAGAGTGTGATATATTGCAAATAAAATTCTAAATGACAAAATAGGTCATACTTTCCTTGGAGACTGAATACGTTTTAGCTAGGACTGACAGCATCAAAAATAGGAAACATTAGGAAAGCTTACCTAGTTTGTATAAGATGATAGGTAAATTTTTTATGCACTCTTAAAAAAATTCCATGGGTGTATTGCTTCTCATTGGCCACAATCAGGATTTCAGATGGCTAAAGAGAGGTGCCTCCCTACAAATGATATGTCCTAAGCACGTGGCTACTGAGTTGTCCAACTGAGAGTGGGCGGTCGCTCTGGGGGTCTCATTGTATCTGTGAGGTCTTTCTGCAGCCCTTCCTCACCTTCTGTCTGTGCCCTGCCCAGGGGAAGTCCCTCTAGGCCAAGAATCCCACGGAAGGCCAAATAAAAAGGGCAGGACACCAGGAGAGTCCCGGGAGCGGGCATCCTGAGGGTCTGTCAAGGTCCCAGTGCAGACCCCTCCTCCAGCTACGAGCCAGCAGACTTGTGAAGCTCCACTCGGGCCCTGGCTGTGAGACCAGCACTCCTCAACACCCCCAGGAAGGTCACTGTGTGTGTGGGGGGCCCCGGGGTAGGAGTGAGAGGTCGGGCAGACGGGTGGCATCGAAGTACCCCCAGGCACTGATTCGTGAATGAACAAACTTCCGCAGTGTGAAATAAACAGCTCTCCTTCCTTTGCAAGTGGGCCTGATCCCTAATGGGTGCTGGATTCTGCATTTGATCATACAGTGTCTATCTGGGGTATGTGCCAAAGAGAAAACGTGCTGGATTCTAAGCTCCACGGATCGGGCGTAGGTTGGACACGTTCTGGGTTTGATTGTGAAATACACACCACGGCGGGTGTGTGTGTGAAATGCACACTGTATTGGATGACAGGATACGTATTTCATATAAATAGATACTGTACGTGGTTACATAAGGCTCATCTTGTCTATGTTAAACAGATCCTCGGATGATAGATGCACCTCGCTGGTGTGGGTTAAACAGAAATGGTGTTTAATTATTAAAAGCCTATCTCTGCTGGGTGTCAGATAGAGGCGGTGCTGGATTATGAGATGCAGGTGTTGAACCAGTGTCCCTGAGGGGGAGAGAGCTACCGCATGGCTCAGGGGCCAGGTGTGCAGGGCCCCGGAGCTTGTCCCACCAGGACCACGTGGCAGTCATAGGAGGAGGCGTGACCAGGACTTATGAGGGAAACCAAATTCTTTCCCTGCTTTCAAAGGTATTTTTAAATGACAAAAATAAGAGCATCCCTGACAATCATTCCTCTTCCCCGATTTCGATAAGGTATCAAAGACCCTCCGGTTCTTCTTCTTCTTAGAAACAAAGCTACTTATGCAAAGAATGCGTTCCCATGGATCTGGACCAGAATATGGGAGACTGTCCCTTTCGGAGGAGGTGGATTTCTGGGGAGATTGGCGTTAGCTCCTCCGTTACGGCGACATTACCTGCCCTTTGTATTCCACTGGTCTCAGTCCCGCGTAGATGGGCACAAAGCTGCTGGCCAAAAGAACCTAGGTGCACAAAGAGAGAAAGGACTCAACTCGAGAGGCCACCCAGGAAGCTGCGACACCATTTAGTACGAAACTCATATGACGTGAACCACCTTCCACACACGTCCAGACACGAATGCTCACACTTACGTAATAAAAAAAATAATAATAAAAATGAAAAATAATTTTAAAAAATGTTTTCAACATCCGAGAAGGCCCCAAAATCATAGGTTCAAATCCACGCTCCCCAAATGAGTGAACTACATACTCCTAAGTCAGAATCAGTGCAGAAGGCCAAGTCCTTTTGAAACTGGCATCTCAATTCCTGAAATCTGTACGGGCTGCAGTTGCTAATTGATGATTCCTAATGTCCTATCAATTAGTAGGAAAACGGTTTTAAAGTCGCCCTGTTATTTTGTGGAAGAGGAACCCCCCTGGTTATTACAGGGGAGATTCACTCCCCACAGCGCAGGATGCCCCAAGGGATGCTACCAGGATGCGGCAAAGCAGACGGTACGTTTTTTGAGACACTCCACGTTCCAGCCAAGGAATCATGAAATGCAAGTAGACGCTATCTTCCGTTTGAAAAGTGGGAAACGATCGTCATTTAGGATATGATCGGTTCTTCCAAGAGAAGCAGCCGAGCTCTGACGGCTTTTCGAAATCTCCATGTTCTCTTCCGCAGCCTCGGTTTCGAATCGCCAGCGAGGGCTCTATTTGAACACACAGGGCATTAGACGTTGAATATTTAAGCTCTAATCTTTCAGCTGATAAGGGAAAGTCTCTATGGCTGTTTATCGGCAAAGATTTCATGAGGCTTTTTTTTTTTTTTTCCCAACATGCATTATTCAGAAATGGATCAGAGCCCCAACACTGGCTTATAAATCATCTGTTTAGAATTATTTAGAACTCAGAAGGCGTTTCCCCCCAAGAAATAATATTATAGGTCTGATTTTTTTTAGGTCAGCTCTCAAAAGCCCATTTATGCTGATCTGCCACTCAATTACAGGCCCAGGCGACAGTGTAACGGGATTTCTGTCGGAAAATCTCCCCTGGGCTGCACCCCACAGGGCAGGAGCCCGCGGGGGCGGGAAGCCCTTCCTGGTGGTGACTTCTGCACCGGGTCCCTGAGCCGTGGTGTGCGCTTCCTCCTGAGGTGGCTCTTCCTTGCACCTGTCTCATGACGGATAGAAACCAAGGCAGAAAGGCTCTGGTGCCTCCTCCACGGGGCACTAGGCTGCTGGTGGCACTTTCAATAGCAAGGCAGAGAAGGAGGGCCCAGGCTGCTGGTGGCACTTTGGGGTCAAGGGCAGACGGAGGTCCTGGTTATGAGAGCTCCCGCAATAATAGGCTCCCGACAGGCGGCTCAGGAAGCTTCTGGGGACGGCGGTTTGAAGTGGCAACGTCATGGTAACAGCACAGCCCAGGGACCAAGCCAACAGCCCTGGGTCACACAGCTCTGGCATGTCAGGCTGGTTCTCTGGGCCGGGACCGGCTCTATAATCTGTCAGCCCCGTGCAAAAAGCAAACGCCATTTCCCTGTTCAGAAAGTGCGAAAAATCCCAAGATGTTGACAGCTGGGTGTTGGGTCAGGAATGAGGCCTTTTGAGAGCCGGGCCCGTGCCCACGCGTGCCGCGCACACCAGGGAGGGGACTCGGCTGTGCGCCACCCCCCAGCGCCTGCCTGAACTCTCTCAGAATTACTGCTCAAAGCGACGACATCGCCCGCCCAAGGGTGGCTGAGCTAATGAGTGCTTCAGCCTGCACCTGGGTTTGGGTTTATTTTAACACCAAACACACCTTCCCTTGGATGTTTTCCAGGGCCAGGAACTGAGTCCGGTTTCTTGCATCCTGTTTGTTTGGTGGCCAATTTCATGCATCTCTCTCTTAATCACTTGTTTGTGCAGAGACCAAGTGCACGCTCATTGGTAGAAGTGCTTCCCGGAGGGAGGGAAGTATCCTCTTTCATTCTGTTTTTATGGATCCGTTCATTTATTTATCGCGAGGTAGAATAACAAGCCCGCAGGAGATTTGACAGCCTCCCAGTCAGTGCGGACCTGCCTGTACCAACACGCTCAGCGCAAGGTCTCCGTCTCACTGTGTAGCACAACAGGACGGGGTGACAGTCCCTCCACCACACCCACTCCACCAGGAGGCAACCCAGGAGCCCAGGAGCGAGGGTCACCTTAGGAGATTTGCTGGAGATCATCAAGGAAATCCGTGGCAAAGCGCCATCCTCAGTCCCAACCCTCACTGCCGCCCCGTGGCCATGATAAAATCGGTAGTTGGCATTTTTAGTTAGAGAAAGCCTGTTTACAGTTAAGATCATCGCATTTACTCCAACGAAATCCGGCCTTGTCATCGATTGGTTACCCTTAAAATGAAAAGCCATGACGGATGGGTCCTAGGTAGGTTCTGAAGCACAGTCCACCTGTTTAATGAAGCTAGCGGGCGAATCCCACGTCGCACCGTAGCATCTCCTGGAACGATTGGTGGGCGAGGACACAGCGACGGTGCTGGGGAATGCCTGCCGCATTTTAAACTCTCTGAAGGATCAAACGTGTGTCTCCTTGGGCTGCACAGACGTATGTACGCTGCAAAAAAATCCACCACCCTTAGAATCAGGACGGTACCCTCCCTCCTCCACCGAGTTGGAGTATAACGTGAAGTTGGCGATTTCATGCCTGGAGCTGTTTTGAGGTATTTGGATGCGAAAAAAAGGGATCCAATTACTTCCCTGCAGATAATAACAGTTAGAATCCTCCTGAAGGATATGAAAAGTGCAGAGACCTGGAAAGTGCGTGCCCCTACACCAACGCGTTTTTTCCTGACACTATTCACTCTCCCATTTTATGGCCTGGTGATCTCTGCATCAAGCCGACTTTAGTGAGGAAATTAGCTTTGGGTAGTTAAGAAGGAAGCGGCTTTCCTTACTGCCATTTGATTGCAGCAGATAGATAGGATTTCATAAGGAGGCAGGTGAAGACTGACATGCTAAGACCGCTTAATGCAACACGGGGTCCCAACGTGTGTCTTTCAGCCTGGGTGGCTTCCTGTGGACGACACCGACGTCACCGATCCATCTCAAGACATCCAGAGCAGCCGATGTCAACGGAAGGGTCATGTCCCCACCCTCTGCTGAGCCACAACCCCAGCCCTGTTATTGGTTTTTTCTCACCAATTTTAGAGGTGACCTAGTAAGCAAGGGACTCCTGGTGACTTTGCCACAGAAAACACCTCTGATACATGGGAAATGGGAGGAGCAGATGCCTCAGTGGATTTCAGGAAGTTGGAGGCTGCTCTCGTCTGCGTCAAACTGGCTGAAACCACCTACCTTTACTTTTGGGTCTGCCCAAGGGTCCCGCGGTGGGTGGCCTTTCAAAGTCAGAGGGTTAAACTCCTCCCTCAGAGCATGCTAGCAGCCATGACTGTATGTGCACACCGTAAGGAGCCGTGAAGATCGTGCACCCACGCCACTAATTATTTCACCTGCAGTCACCCTTCCCAAAGCCCAAAGTCCCCCTTCCCAAAGCCCAAAGTCCCCCTGATTCTTTATCCCATAAATATCCTGAACCCTAACCTTCCAGGAGGCAGATGGGAGACCTGGATCTCCTACCTCTCTGCTGGGTTGCTTGGTGAATCAACTCTCCTTTGCAAAACTCATTGTTTCCATGATTGACATACCGTGCCGCAGGCAGAGCAGACTGGGGTCAGCAACAGGTCCCCAGATGTCAAGAGCTCAGTGGTTGGGCACACTCATGAGAAAAGCAAAGGCTTGCCTTCCCGCCCCATCTCTCGGTACAGTGCTTTAAACATGGTGTGCAGTGTAAAACCGTTGATTTTCACTTTATTCTTACTTAAATATACAAGGATGAGAATCAAAGTCGGTGGCTTCCCGTGGCAGCGGCTCAGAACATTGGCCAGGGCGTATTCAGGACACGTCCTCGCTGGCTCTTTTCGTTTTGCATTTTATAGAACAGGGGGTGTTTAGAAAATTATGTGGCTTAACTTCCTTCGAGTATAAATTCTCAACAAGTTTCGTTTATGCCTCAAGTTTACTGTGAAGTGTAATGAGAATCTGGCTGTTTATACAGACCCTGCTGGTGTCGTTGAGATTCAAAGACAGATTCAAATTTATCTTCCTCCAGTCTTGCTAAGATAATGGCCAATCTGAAATTCAGTCCTGGTTCCACCTTCACAAAAGCTAAATGTGAGAAGATTCTGCTATAAAGGAGCTAGGTGCTAGGAAATTCAGGTCAGCGGAGCAACGGAGACAGGGTGCCCGCTCCCGGGAGAGCTGGGGACACTGTTGGAGATGACATTCTCCCTGGCCATCCAAATAGAGGTGTCTTCACACCTGCCAAAAGGACATGTCTCAGAGCACACGTCTGCATCGACCCTGCACATGAAGAGGTTCAGGATGCGCCCCAGTTGAGGGGCGCAGGAAGATGTCACTGTGCCACGTCGGCGTGTTGATTTAAAATGCACTCCTGCTCAGTCCTGCGGCTGCCGCAGGACTTGCTTTTAAGCCACGGATTTATCTCCCTGATTGTGCTTTGCTGAAGGCTGATGTCACAATGCGCCTGGATTTGCTGGTTGTGAGCTTGCTTCTGACGGAAAGCAGCCCAGAGTACAATCTGGAACTGAAGGGGAAGGAGTTGATATGCAAGATGGGCCCAGTTGGGTCATTCAGGATTCTCCAGGGAGCCATGCTAAAGAAGGGGGTGGGGGTGGGAACCGATGCCCATCAAGAGAGGAGGGGCCCTGGAGGGGTTTCACATCCACAGGTCGAGGCTGGAGGGAGGAGGAAGTATTTTCATCGTCCTGCTGTACTTTACCTGTGTGACGGGTGGAGGGCAGGTGGGTCCTGGGGATTGAACCCAGGGTCTTGTGCATGCAAGGCAAGCACTCTACCCACTGAGCTATATCCCCAGCCCCAACATTTTCTTTATGCACCTGAAATACACCTCTCGGACCAGTGCGGATAAAGGAGGGATCTGTATACAGGGGGCGTGTTGGGG